ATCGTTAGGGAACGCGACTACTCTTGGACGGCTGTTTTCCCATCGGCTTGTCTCTTTAACATAAGAGACGAACAGACAGAAAGAAGAAGTGCAAGAAAAGTGACTATCGATAGCAATGCAATAGTGCCCATGGCTAATATTTCAGCATTTTATCGAAAAACATTGAAGTTTGGAAACGACTCATTGAAGTTACTTCGGGAGCATCTAGGGATACGAGAATGTTAGATACGAAGTTCTCGAATATGCGAATATCAGCGAGTAGAAGAAATCGATTCCAAAGCAAAGTGCTTCATACATTTTCAATTTCTACATGTGGATATGTCGCGAAGATTAGTTAGAAACTTGAAATATCTATCTATTATTTAAGAAAAGTTGCATTACCAAAAGACGATCGAAAAGTATATGATATATTGAGAAGAAGCAGAACTAAACCCAATATTATTTCACTGTTGTTCCTTGTAAGCATTGCGATAAGTTTTTCGACTATCCATGTTTGCAAAAAAAAAATAATAATGAACATCAGCGAAGAGCCGAATGTGTAGATTATGATGAGTATATTCTACCTGCAATTAATTGGTGATATATTTCTATTCAATATTGTTTTATAAAAGGAACCACTTTACTTTGAATTTCTTATTGTTACTCTAGATTACAAAACTTTATACCTTTACGCTGTTTGCAGCTAGTCCTTATTCATTGTCTATATCTAGGCCGGAATCAATTGTATGCTATAATTCAAGTATTATACTCAAATACAGTATCGCTGTTATCCTGATCTTGCTTCTATCTGTGATTCGATGAGTATTTGTCGTTTCACTCGTCTGTCTTGAGATTGAAAGGGAAGAAAATTTTCAATCTGAACAATTTACTACGTGTAATAACACGGAAAAAGAGAAAGCAGCGACTTTATATGTTCAACAAAGCAAGTTTTAGTATGGTACTCTGCATAATGATATCAGCCATGAAAGCTGAAATAAATGTAAAAGTTCTAATTTTTATTCAATTCGATTTACTTGTTCGAAAATCTCTATTTTGTGAATCTACAGTTTATGATCAGTAACATTTGGCCTGATTCGTTACAAGAAACCCAGTAGAACAATATATGTAACATTTTGAAGTAGATTTAAAAATAGAAATCGTCAAATTTAATGCGCTTTAGATAATTCTCTAGTCAAACGAGACAAACAGCTGAGTTTACAAAAATGACAATATCACCTATTTTCAATTACTGGCTGTGTCCATTTCTATAAATGAACACATTGATAGTATATCCAGTAGCGATTTGTGTGTGCAAGATGCTAAAACGTGTTAATTTTTCATGTTTGGGGTTTGCAAAGGAAAAAACTGATTTTATTAGAAAGTGAATGCAAGAGTAGTATAAAACAATGCCTAGCGTCAAACAGATTTTCCATCGCCTTTAATGATCATATCTGTCGGAGCACGTTGTTGCCACTCAGTGAATGCACCCTAAAAATATGAAAATAAAAAATACTGTATCGAAATAGTGTTGCTAATAATAATTCTAATCTCAAAATTAAACAACCTTAAGATTTCGAGCAATAAGATATTTTAAATTTCACATAATAGAATTCCTTCCTTTGAACCTCACTTTCTTGATTTGACGTTACAACTAATGCGTACTAGTAACAACATGTTCACTGTTTTCTGTATGTTTCAGATCTATAATAACCTACTTACTATGTAAACGGATGGTTCTTTTTGCCCAAGTAAATGAGCAACAAACGCGAGCGTACTGGCGGTCGTCCCAGTGTGACACGTATAAATGGCAGGCTTCGAGAGGTCAACACCAGCTTTGCTGAATACTTGAAACAAAGAAAGATATAATTTTCATATTATTAATATTGATAATTTACTTTCTGCAAGTTGATCTTTTGATTTCAAGCATTGTTTTGTTTGATCCAAAAGAGAATTGTAAGGCAAATTTAAGGCATTGGGCATATGTCCGGCGTCGGCACCTGAAAAAGTACTTTATGAAATAAAAATACATTTCGAATTTAAATGAAATTCGAGATCATTTCCATCTCCTATCACATCTGAATGTCATAAATCAACTGTAAAAAAACGATGCAATGTGATTGATCATAAAGACTAGTGCAGATTCGAATAACTGAACAAGATTTCTCCCTCTCACACATTGTTTTGATGTACCGTAGAACATATTGGGCGATCGTGCATCCACAACTTGTACACGTTGGACACGATTCGTCTTGGAAGAAAGATTCGCTAACATTTGATCGAAATTTCGCACCATTCGCTTGTTAAAATTTACAGTAATTTTTTTTTTCTGAATTATAAAATAATTGTTTAAAAACTGTTGGGAACTATGATGTATTCTACCTCTTCTTGTGCATCATTACTTTCCGTTGATTCAATTTTATGGTTTTCTCTAACCCATCCATGAAAACCACCGTTGAGAATCGATAAATTATCGACACCATAAGTCTATGATCATTCGATATATATGCACAAAAGGTCACTGAGAATTGTTCGCGTACCTTAAGTAAACACCAGGCACGACCAGAGGCAAAGAAACCTGTCGGCGAGCGATCATAGAGAACAATATGGTGTGTATTCGAAATTCCCAAACGTGTTAGGTAGCCTTCGAAACAGTTCATGTCAGGTAATCCACGTGGAATGAATGCTGTTGGTGTAGTGCATTCTAGTTGATCAAAATATCGAGCTTGTGGTAAATGACCTCTTAAAAATTTATTTTAAATACTAGTTTTGTGCAAATAGATATGAATTTAAGACCATAAAAAAAAATACTTACGCTTGAAAATCACTATAACATTGTTTGCCAATATCTGCTTCGAGCACCGTAATTTGACGTGGTGGTGCACGAAGAAGATGCTTTAAGGCTTGACACGAAACTAATGGCGAAATTATTTGTGTTAGAGTCATCTTCAAAAATAAAATAATATCAATATTTTTTTCACATGTCATCGTAGTCGGCTGATGCTTTCATAATGCAGCAGAAAGACAGCAATATTATGAGAAGTAACCTAGAGTCGCTATCCTTCGTTGAGGATGAATACATTTAACCTTGTTTTGTACTCAGCATGGTGGCGCGTTAGAAAAAAACGATATGCACTATTTAGATGATGAAGAAAAAGTGAAACCGACGCCAGGAAGGTAAAAAAAACAAAGAAACATGTTACACCGCTAAAGCGCGTGTTTCTCTGTACGTGCAATATTTTTTCTACCATGCTGCTTGGATGATGGTACGCTGAGAATAAAAAGGACGAAAAAACAGTGAGTAATTATCCTGACGAAGAGAAAGTCGAAATATTTCTTTTCTCTTCGAATCGATTATTCACATATGACATCATTGACCATAATATGAAGTATTACAAGAAGATTGAACAAAATAATAATATAATACAGAGTTGTAAGCGATGTGGCCCAACCGAGTGGGTTGAAATGCTTCAACCTGCTGGTCTTCACTGGTTTTCACAGATTGGAAAGTGTTTTATAAATATATCATTCTGCTTTGATAAAAACTGTTGAGAGCAACTTTGCTTGCTCTGATCAAAATAAGCAAGCACTGTTGCTTTCAGAACGATTCGTTCAATTTTCTTCCGTTTGTTCACATAGGTCTGTTTTTGTAATCGAAGTATATTTCATTTTTTAAAAAGAACAATCAAAGATGTGTTGCTTGAGCTAAACATATATCATATGTATTTTGGTAAAGATCAAATTTAGAATCGTACACTGCGGTTAGGAGAGAAACGCTATGTTTGTCTAGCAAGACCGAGGGACAAAAAAATCGAGATTTTGAGTTTAGCAATCAGTTAAGGGGGAACCCCCACTCCGAAACCTATCTTCTAAACGATACAACAGATTTCGATGAAAATTTCAGGAAATATAAAAGCTAATATAACTAGCATTTGATAAAAATTTCAGCCAATAATTTTTGATAATTAAGAAGTTATGCTCAATGTACTCATAAAAACAGAG